AAAAAAAACAATATCCATTAATAATTATTAACAAGAGTTTCGTGGCACTTTAACATTCACACACCATACACCACCTGAAAGTTACTTTTATTTGGTAAATCTGTAAAAGGGAGAAACCATGGAAAGGCTTTGAGAAAATATGGAACCACTGACTGCATTCTATAGTATTTTTGTGGAGGAGAAGATCATTTGCAAAGGCTTGGACGGGTCGGAAGCAACGGAGATTCCAAAATCGAATTGATCGCAAAGTGAAACGGGACCTTTCTTAATATCTATCGCCGAAGGTACGTTTTCTTGCATCACCTACGATTTCTCTTGCTAGATTATCACTATTATTGATTATTACCATTAATTATTAAAGTCATCTCTATATTGTTCCATGCTCTGTTTTGTTCTCAGAAGAGAGTACCATTAATGATTAATGTCACCTTTGTGTTGTTTCCATGCTCTGTTTTATTCTCAGAAGAGCGTCATCATGTCCAGAAAAAAGAAGAAGAGGAACTTGTGGACTATACTATTCTTTGGAGAAGATGAATAGTTCTTGTTAAATCGTATTCTATTCTATTATATGCGTATGGAATAGAAATGTAAAACAATATGTATTATGCTTGTTATATTCATGTTATGTAATGCGAAATATTGTGTTACTATACCTTTTTATCATGTGTCGTTCTATTTGACAATTAATATAGAGTGTTCTTGTTCATTAATATATACTATACTATATACTTTGTTTCATTCTATTTGTGTTTAGAGTCTATCATTGGGTTTAGGGTTTAGTGATTAGGATTTAGGGTTTCAAATTTATTTGAAATGTGGGAGTTGAAGTTTGGGTTTAGTGACCCTATCATGTATCATTCCTTTTCACGATTAATAAAGACTATTCTATTTTGTTCACCAATATGTACTATACTATGTATTTTGTTCAATTCTATTTGGGTTTAGATTATATCCTTGGGTTTAGGGTTTAGTATGAAGGCGACGTGGTGACCTTCCTATCATCGTTTTCCAATAGTGCGGGGTAAATCTTAGTCATGTCTCTTTTTTTATCAATAACCACTCTTATTTTCCTTATTTTGTTTACAGATGTACTCAGCTAATGTAAATGAAATATACTTCCCATTCTATACTATTTATAGAGATTCAATACTATGTCTTGTACAACAAAATAAATTTGCAGCATATTATATAGATTCTATTTGGGTTTATAGATCGGTAATTAGGATTTAGATTTAATAATTAGGGGTTTATTATGGGTTTTAGTATTTAAGTGGTTAAATATGGGGTTAGTATTTAGCGTGAATATGGGGTTAGAAGTATAACATTAATTTGGTTATGTAAATAGAATGGACTATTCTTTTGTACTATTTACGGATATTCTATTCCATTTTTTTGTACACAGAAAACAATGTCGTCATCATCGTCTCCATCGTCTATCTTCTTGTTCTGCACACTCTGTTTATATTTTGTTTTCTTNTGATAAATTGAACAATTTTCAACTTCAATTTCTCTTGGCCACATATGCACTCGTCGACGTCATCTCTTAATCTCTTTGTCACCGGCTACTTGAAGACGGTAAGGATATAACCGGACAAAACGTGTATGAAATGTTATATACTTAATAATGTCAAAATCAAAGCTATTCTCTTAATTTTGACTCCAAAATTGGTTAGTTGGCAAATTCTCCCTAAGATTAACCAATTAAAAGATGATATTAGAAATCTCTAAATGGTTGATTATGTATCCCATATGGACTAATTGCCAAGACATGTAAAAATAGAATTTACGTACCATTTAAAATGTTTAAGATTTACGTACCAATTAAAAAATGATATTAGAAATCTATAAATGGTAGATTAAAGTTTCTTTTTTATATAAGAAAAACGGTTGAAGTTTCTTTTAACTGCCAACTGTTAATATTTTATTTAATTATAATACTCATGCAGTTTTTAAATCGCTGGGCTTGATATTATAATAACGAAAAGTCAACAGTAGGAGAAAAGTAAAAAGGGAGGGAGCGCCCATAAACAGAGACCTAGAGATGCTTTCTCACGCGTCGCAAAAACGAAACGAAACGAATCGAATCGAATCATTTTCTTCCTATATATACATTTCATTCGTTCATCCTCTTCTCATTCCACGCATTCTTCAAATAGAAACTAAAATATTACAAAGTTCGTAGGCTCCGAGTGAATAGAAAGAAGATGGTTTTGTCTAAGACAGCTTCGGAATCTGATGTTTCAGTCCATTCAACTTTTGCTTCTCGTTACGTCCGCAACTCTCTCCCACGGTAAGAATTAGAATATGAAACTATAATTCTTTATGAAGTGTTTATGAAAAAAATTCAAGAAAGAGTATTGCATGAAAGTAACAATAACGATTCACTGCATATGACTTGTAAAGACATTAGCAATATTTTTATAATCGGTTTAGATGACTTATATGCACCCATCTATGCAATAAATCAGTTATAAGAATGACTTTTCCTAATTTCTTTATAAGACAACACTTAAGCACCTGCGTAGATACCAAACCCTTATAAATTAATTAACAATTTGATGAACATTAAACGTTATTCTTAACTTATTTCGTATATTTTTAACATATGTTTTCATCATATTATCAGATTTGAGATGCCTGAGAACTCCATCCCAAAGGAAGCAGCGTACCAGATCATCAACGACGAGCTAATGCTCGACGGTAACCCAAGGCTAAACCTAGCCTCGTTCGTGACCACATGGATGGAGCCAGAGTGTGACAAGCTCATGATGGAATCCATCAACAAGAATTACGTTGACATGGACGAGTACCCTGTCACTACTGAGCTTCAGAACCGTTGCGTCAACATGATTGCGCGTCTCTTTAACGCGCCGCTTGGTGAAGGCGAGGCTGCGGTCGGTGTCGGCACCGTGGGATCGTCTGAGGCAATTATGTTGGCCGGGTTAGCTTTTAAGAGACAGTGGCAGAATAGGCGTAAGGCCCAAGGGCTTCCTTATGATAAGCCCAATATCGTAACCGGAGCTAATGTTCAGGTAAATCAAAACACAAGATTAAACCGGTTTAGACCTTTATTTCTCTATCTTGAAACAAATTTAAACCAAAAACTGAAATACAAAACAAAAGTGTATTCCATCTACAATTTAAAATTATTTGATTTTACTTAGCTTTTAGTTGATTTTAGGTGAAACGAAGAATTTACTATGATTTTTTGTTAAAGTACTTTAAAATATTATTTAAAACTATAGAATTTTGATTACTTTTTATTTTAATGAAGAACTATATCCAACACTATAAATGACTAGAAACTTTCTAAAATACACAATTTTTAAATATATTCAGTACCAGTGGGTTTCAAAATATTTGATCTAATAACACTAACTTTTTTTTTTTTTTAAAGAAGTAAATTTCTATTTGAATAACAGTAAATTTATAATTTTCATACCAATCAGTTCAAACTCTTAGTTGAATACATCTCTCTAGCTCTCTTTTATCTCAAAGTACATAGCTCAACCAACCAGATAATTGAAATTAAACCAAAAGATGGTAACTCTGGTTAAGGTCTATGGTTTACTAAATTTCCTGTATAATACAGGTTTGCTGGGAGAAATTCGCAAGGTATTTCGAGGTGGAGCTTAAAGAAGTGAAGTTAAGAGAAGGATATTACGTGATGGACCCTGAAAAGGCGGTTGAAATGGTAGACGAGAACACCATGTGTGTCGCAGCCATCCTCGGTTCGACGCTAACCGGAGAATTCGAAGACGTTAAACTCCTCAATGACCTCCTAGTCGAGAAAAACAAGCAAACCGGGTAACTAAACCAACCCGTAGCTAAGAATTAATCAATTTCAACCGATTAATTTCTGGTTTAACATTTTAAAAATGCAATTTGCAGATGGGACACTGGGATTCACGTGGACGCAGCAAGTGGTGGGTTTATTGCACCGTTCTTGTATCCGGAGCTGGAGTGGGATTTCCGGTTACCATTGGTTAAGAGTATTAATGTGAGTGGTCACAAATACGGTTTGGTTTATGCTGGAATCGGTTGGGTTGTGTGGAGGACCAAATCTGATTTGCCTGATGAACTTATCTTCCACATCAATTATCTTGGCGCTGATCAACCCACCTTCACTCTCAACTTCTCCAAAGGTAACATATTACCATCTCTATATTTGAATAAAAACCATATATTATGGAAATTACTGATTTGTTAATGTTTGAATAAACCAGGTTCAAGTCAAGTGATTGCTCAGTACTACCAGCTGATTCGTCTTGGATTCGAGGTAAGCAGTAACCCAAATGACCAAATTGCTATTTTAGTAATGTTGTTTGAAGTGTTGAATATAATTATAACCAAACTTAAACCGAACTGAAACAATATATACTCATATATATATATATATATTCTATCTGTTTCATTTTAGTTAAATTTTCATGTTTTTAAACACTAAAAACATATTAATTTTTTTTATCATATATATATATTATGTTATGTAATCATCAGTTTTTAACAACATTATATCATTTTTTTGGGTAAAATGTTAAGATAACAACAACATTATATCATTATATCTATTGTAACTAAAAACATGAATATTTTTATTTTGCAATTTACTATTATATAAACATTAAAATGTAGCTTATAAAATATATTTTTAAAAGAGAGAGAAGAAAATCATGGAATATTAAGAAAATGTTTTTGTTGTTTTTGGGTTTAGGGATATCGCAACGTTATGGATAATTGCCACGAAAACATGATGGTCCTAAGAGAAGGACTAGAGAAAACGGGACGTTTCAACATTGTCTCCAAAGAAAACGGTGTTCCCTTAGTGGCATTTTCTCTAAAAGATAGTAGCCGTCACGACGAGTTCGAAGTGGCGGAAACTCTCCGCCGCTTCGGATGGATCGTTCCAGCCTACACTATGCCCGCTGATGCGGAGCACGTGACCGTCCTCCGAGTGGTGATTCGAGAAGACTTCTCTCGAACCTTAGCCGAGAGATTGGTCGCAGACTTTGAGAAGGTTCTTCACGAGCTTGATATGCTTCCGGCGAGGGTTCACGCCAAGGTGGCTAATGGAAAAGCTAACGGTGTTAAGAAGACGGAGGAGGAGACGACGAGGGAAGTTACTGCGTATTGGAAGAAGTTTGTGGAGACAAAGAAGATTAACAAGAACAAGATTTGCTAGTAAAAAAATGAATGAGTTGATATTTTGTTGTTTTATCTCCAATTAAGCTACATTTGAAACCCTTCTCTTACATGCTACTCGGGTTATTTTTGGTTTCGAATTATATACTTTTTATGATCTGATGTTCAGGATTTGTATTTTGAATAAATTTAAACTAATATTATGTATATATAAAGACGTTATAATCTTAAAATATATTTGTTGTTGTAGAGTAAAATTTGTGTCTCAAAATAAGTATCGTTTTATAATTTCAATGCAAAATTTATTAATTTTATCTATTATTATATTTTTCTATTGGTTGCAATATGATTAAGCGTATAGGTAATTGTGTTTTTTCTAAAAATTATGCAGAATTAAATGTTTTCGTAATATATGTGCAAAAATTTACAATCTATACTATTATTTGCGAAGTGATTTTTCGCAACGGAGTTCTCACGTTAAAAGTTAGAGCAGTTAATATCTATTTTACCCTTAGTGAATTTTTTATATATAACTAATTTTATAATTAAAAATGAAATTTAAAAAATAAAATTAGATTAGTATGTTATTATCTTAGATAACTGAGAATAATTAATATAATATATTTATAAAAAAATCAAAAATAATTAAAAACGAAATTTAAAAAATAAAATTAGATAAGTACAGTATGTTATTATCTTAAATAACTTAGAATAATTAATATAATAAGTTTATAAAAAAATCAAAAATTAGATAATTCTTATATATGTTATTATCATCTCAATATAATATTGTAACAACATGATAATGCTTATATATCTTAATTTTATATATAATTGATTTTGGCTTTTCAAAATAATATCATTCTATTATAAAATTGAAAAATTAAAATTGAAAAATTAAATTAAAAAATTAAAATTTAAAAGTCGATTTTAATTAAATATTAATCAAACAAAAACATTTGCATAAAGATACTTTTAATTATATAATTAAATATTAAATATTAAAAATTGGAACGGTTCAAGTTAATGATACCTTTAATGAAATTTATATATTTATATATAAATTAGTTAAAAGCGAATTTAATGTTAGTGATAGAAATTTATATGTTATTATATTAGTTAATTTATTATAAATTAATAGGATAATTATCCACATTCATGCATATTTAAAACATAAGATATCTTATAGAATATTATACAGTTATCTAGAAATAATATTTTTTATTATCAAAAATAAAAATTAAATATTAAGAAAAAATATAAATATATCTTCAGAATGTTTTATTATGTGGATGTTTTTCCAACACTATAATAAGCATATGGATTTTGATGAAAATTCATATAAAATATTTTAATGTTTGACTTAGGTTTTTTAAAACTATAAAAAACTTATAATATTATTTTAAAATTAATAAAATAATAAATAATAAATATTCGAAAGACAGTTATGCCCGCATTTACTCACCATAACATAGAGGGAGAAAAAAAAAAATTGAGATTTTGAGTAAACAACATTGATATATATAAGAGCATAGTGTCTGTGGATTTGATCTAATAAACTCAATGGTTCTCGCATCTGTTCATCAAAATAGGGTTTATTGTTTTGCCGTTTATTCTTTTGCACAAGAATTCTGTAAAGCTAATTATACAATAAGTTTACAAAACATCTCAACGCTTCACCTTTCACATATCGTTCCTGAAAACGATCGTGCTCGGAGAATCAATCCTCACAATGATTCCTTCATCTTCATCATCACTAGATTCCGCCATCGTTTTCCTTCTGCTGCTCTCTGCTGATGCTACTTGCGCAGGACGCTGAGACACAAACTTCCTTGCCTCAACCTGCTCCCTGGTGGCCATGGAGCTTTCAGATTTCGCTGCGTCTAATGGATGTTTCTTGTACAACAAGTTATCTTGCGGCTTGTTGTTGATGATCCCACCGAAACTTGCACTCCTTGTGAACAGATTAACCTTGCTGCCGAAGATGCTAAGTTGTCTTGCTCGTTCAGATAAGTTTAATGCCTTTCTATTGATCTCTTCTTGTTGCTCAGCTTTGTATCTACTTTCAGGCCAGCTCATGAGGCCTCTGTGTTCTTTGCTAGATGATCTCTGGAGCTGGTGCTCGGAGCTTGACCCAATTGGTGACGACAACGAAGATGGTTTTCGTTGTAGAGTCCTATGAGCTCCAAATGCTCCGATGTTGAAGATGATTACTCTTGCTCTTGTCTCCACACTGTACTGTGTTGCTTGTCGTGAGAAACTAACTCTCATGATACCTATGTGATCAAAAAAACCAAAACATAGTTTTTGATAAGAGGGTTTTTGATAACTTTCGTTATGTGTGACTGTGTACCTGAAGCTTCTGATGCGTTACGGAAGCTTTGATTCTCGTTACAAGGCAATAATGCAGCAGGAGATGATACAAGCTCTTCTTGGATACCAACTGGTTTTATGAATCCTTCTAATAACAAACCGACGCTGTTGTAATCAATGTCGATTGATTCTCCAGAGACGTATGTTGTCAGTTTTGAGCTTTCAGCGGAGACAAGGGATCGTAGTTCATGCATTGCCACTTTTTCAAATATCTGAGGACGCAGGAGTTTGAGAAGCACCAATGCACTTTCCTGGAGAGAAGAAGAAACCATTAAAGAAGTTGAGATGCAATGTACAATGACGAGAGGATTGTTCTCTATTCAATGGAGACGTACGTACCTTCCAAAGGAAGTCTTCAATGGTAGTATCCGTATGTACAAAGGCTAGTATTCTATCACTACTGATGAAGAAGCAAAGAACAACAGAATCTGTAACCATGTCGCACATGTATGGTTTCCCGGTGAGGACTTCGTAGAGTCCCAATGTACTACCATGAGAGAAAGTTGGATGCAGCGAGTGATTGTTGCCTAAGCTTTTGCTTTTCCACTGTAATATGATAACTTTCAGTGATAAAGAAGATCATTGATCTTTCAATATTATGACTAAGTTTTGGGTTTACCTTAACAATGCCATCACAAATAAGCCAGATTCCAGTTGGCTTTGAACCTTCTTTATAAAGCGTCACACCACGCAGCTTCATTGTTTCTTTCTTCGAGTGTTTTAGAGGTTCACATACTGCAGCAGGGAGAGCACCAGATAACGGATGTGAGGAGATCAGGTCGCTTAACTTTGGAAGTTTTACTATTGGAGGGTTTCTCAAAAGCTTCTTCAAGCCAGTCTGCGCAAAGAAAGAAAGAGAAGGAAAATTAGAACAAAGAGACATGACTATGTGTTGAAGGAATTTGATTCTTTAGATTCGTTACCTGGACAGCATCATGAAGATGAGCGATTTCTTTTTCTTCCAACAAGCCAATCTTCTCAAGGTTTTGAATATATTCGAGTAAATGATTCAGCACTGAATATGTTACTTGTTTCGTTTTCACAACACGGAGAACCTACAAACCAAGTTGATAAAAGATTATAAGTAATTCATCGCGAGAAAAGATAAATCACCTCAAACAAATGACACGACTCTTAACCTGAGGAAGTGACGATCGAACTTTTTCCAAAAACTCTTTAGCTTCAGCTCCTTCGGTTTCACTTTCTTTGATTACAGTAGAACCGATACTACTCTCCCCTGTTTAAAGAAAGATAATTAAGAGACAAAAGCATTTTTCTTACTAAGTTGAGGTACTTGCAAACAAAATCTATGAAAGATCAACAAAGGTGTGATCCATAATCTGAATTACACATACCAATAAAATCATATAATTGCTGCCTCGCAATTGTATGTGCGCGAAGAAATGCAGCGGAAATGTAGCAAGCAGATTCGAGTCTTTCAACAGCAAAGTATATGACCAACCTCCCTGGGATGATTTTAGAATGAAGAAAGTTGTAGTAGCTCGGGAACTTAACATGCTCTTTTAGACCTCTCCAGTCACATAAAAACTCCGTGGAAACTCGATCCAAGGCCTCATCCACTGACCGCATCAATATATTAGCTGTACTTTCAGATATTCTTCCCTCATCAAGCATCTCCCAGTAAGCTGCCTGAACACCTGATGCATGCAAGAGACTCGAACTAAGGGTCAATAATTTGACTCATTGGATAGTGTAATAGGTTGGAAAATGACATGATTACCATTTAAGAATCGTATACGTATGTCTTTTAAACTCGTACTGTCAAGATTTCCAGTCTTAGAGCCACTATGGGGATGAACTTGTTCCCCTTCTGAATCTTTTAAGCTTGAAATGTATTTCTCAACTGTTGGCCAGTCAGCAGGTCCTAGCTCTTCATCGTCTCCTAGATCTTCAAACGCTTGTAAGGCCTTATTCAGCATTTCATACTTTGTATAATCCAATATTCGTAGCTGTCAACAAGAAAAAATGGAGAATTTCGAATAAACAAAGGGGTTTGAGCATTTCCAGATGAGAGTTGCAGATTCTTTTGGACGCTTACAGACACAGGTAACTATGTATTTGCAAACTTAAGTTGGAAATGAAGTCTGTGAAAAGATTATGACCTTCGTGGCTGGTAAACCATCCATGCCAAGAAGGCGTAGTGCAAACTGGGTAGTGGATCCATTAACTATCAGAGTTAGGAACACAATTCCACCTGTGAAGAATATAAACTGCAAAAAAAAAAGAAAATATCACGAGACTGAAATGATAGTCTTCTATAATTCATTTAGGTATAACACCTTGCAGACAATTTTCCGAACTTACCAATGTTCCTGTCTCCCTGCTGAGAAATGAATTTCCGCTTGATTGCTGAATCATATGATTAAGAGTAGGTTAATTTAAGACCGAATCAATGCGCATAATTCAAGAGAAAGAGAAGAACAAGATTGATAATGTTCTTGATAACTAACCTTCACGGATAAAGAAAGTGAGAGCGCCACTGCACCCCTCAAACCAGACCATACTAGTATGATGCCTTCTTTCCAATCCAACCCATAGCCAACACGGCATAGCAATGGATATAAAACTCCAACAACAACACAACGTGATACTTGGACGTATAAGTATAGTAGAAAAAGAAATCCCCATGAATTCCCTGTAAAAAACATGGGCCACCGAGAGTCCTTAAATGCACCATACGCAAGCATGGTCCTGGTACACTAAATCTCAAATCTACTTTAATAATCAACCGACTGGCGAAAGAACACATTATTTAAGTCCTGGCACAGTGGCAATTATACTGCACTGCTTCCCTAAACCAATGGTGCAAGTTTTTTTTCTTTTACACTAACTGATGCTAAAG